GGGGGGGAGGGGGGGAAGATATTCCCTTAAATGTTTTTTTTTGGTTTTGTTGCTTTTCCTCTATCAATCTTAGCGATTAAAGCAAGCTAGATAAGGTCCTGTAAGGGAGTTTGAGGAATTGTGGGGAAACTGGAAATGATTTTCTGACCTATAGCCAGAAGGGATGGTGAGTCCTCTATTGCATCTCAGTAAATTATCATCATTGTGGAAACACCCAGAAAATCGGGGTTTGTGGAAAATGTGTAAGCTCATATTAATTACAGATGTTCTTATAGAATATTTATCTTTTTAACTCACAAACCATACTCTTTAGGTCAAACTTATGACATCTGCAGGGAGGCAGCATAACTTACATAGCCAAGATGTTATTTATTTTATACTTCAGCCTTATATTAATTTTTATGCCAGTAGAGACCTCCAGTACTAGGCTATACTGAAGTCACTTCAATTCAACACATAATTCAGAAGAGGTTTTTCAGTTTTATATATGTGTTTACTTATACCTGTATGCTTTCCTTTTATATTTATATCTAGATTGTTCACTTCCAAAATACCTTTGCAGAACTTTATTTGAAGGTGTTTATTTGAAATGGTCAGTAAATAAACTGTAAGTGTGTGAAATAATTTCTCATCTCTGCTACAAAAATACATAAATTAGAATCACATAACAGATTTCAGAAAAATCTATACTGGAATGCAAAACAAAGGTTTTTTTTTCTCAACAGGAGATACTTTTAGGCATCTAACACATTCATTTTTACTTGTCAGCAAAATAATTCTTGGGGAAAAGAAGTTTTAAAGCAGCTGTCTGTTCTTTTCTTTCTGTGGGCTTTCAAGATTTGCGTAATCTATCCAGGGGGAGAGTCTAGGTAGACTCCTGATAATAACTAGAAGAGGATATGCATTATTTAATAGATTGGCCTATATGCAAATGAGAAGAGCATAAACATAGTAATCTAAAAGTGCTTTTGCTTATATCATTGTTAAAACGCCAAAACTGCACCTCTGAAGTGCACAAAATAATATTGGCTTTAATGAATTGGTTCTGAGTGGTGTTTTGAGACAACAGAGTCTGATGGATCGAGCTGTGGTCTGAGAATTGCAAACCCTGGATGCCTACTCTTGGTCCTGGCTTTCTGCCAGAGGGAAATTATAGCCCTTCTGAGTTAAGATTTCTTTTTCTTATTAAAACTGTAGATTATAGTATTGCAAAGCATTGTTGAAAATGGTGGTTAATGCACTCGTGTGTTTAATTTACATTTGTGAATGATTGTGGCATGTATGTCTCCATATGTGTGTCTGCTTGAAACCGTGTAACACATTCATCTTTCTGCAAAGAGATATAATTTCCTTGTAAAGAAAATTGGATGTTTCCACTGTGAATGTCCTCTGGTGTGTTTTTATGGATGTAAATTCACAGATTAAACACTTTTGTTTTCTCAATCAGTGCAGAACCATATGTTAATCAACTGTTTCTTTGAATAGTGGGATGAAAATAAGAAAAAAAGATGAAATATTGTTCCTATTCAATTAAATATGAAAAACTAAGTGGTCCTCCCCAGAATTTTGCTGAAGTTGGCACACAAAAAAGCCACTTGTTTCCCCTCTCATTTCTTTAATTATTTCTGATTTTATAAGTAGGTAACGATCTCATTTGTCCTCATTTTTGTAGCAACTTGATAGAGGAATTATGTTGGTTTGGGGTTTTTTTTGGTTTTTTTTTAGTTTTAGCCTTCTTTCTTAATAGCCTGTGTAGAATTTTCTCTAACAAAGAAAATATTTTAAAAGGTAGCAAAAGCCCCTCTTTTTTCCTCATAACATCTTGAAAAATACAGGTAATCATGTTACACAACACTGAACAGTCTAATAATCTGAAGGTCAGAAAAGATACACATACATACATACATACATACATATATATATATATATATATATATATATACATGCTTTTCAAAAATTGTTGCTTTAAGAAATTCTCCCTAGGAGCTGGACAAAGAGCATCAGGAACAAGGATCACTTGATTTTTCTGTTCATGTGCATGTGTCTGCCTCTTTTTTGTTTGTTTGGGGGTTTTTGTCATTTGTTTGGATATTTTGGTTTTGGTTGGTTTTGTTTTTTTCCTTTTGTTTTGTTCTGATTTGGTTTGCTTTGGTTTTCTGGGCCTTTAAATCTCTGAGTGTTCCTTTGCTCTGCTCAAATGAAAGCAGACATTAACCTTTCAGATATTCCTTTCATGACACACTGCCAGGGCATGTTTTTTTTTATGACAGAAATGTAGCTATATTGAGAAATAAACTTAGAATAAAATTTCCCATAGGAAATGAAACTGGGGAGAGTGAGGAAAATGACTTTATCTAGGTCTTTTATTATATTCCTGGCAAATTGTCTTTCTTCATGTCTGTTTCTATCATATTTTTGTTTCTATCATGGCACCATGGAATGGTTTGGGTTGTAAGAGACATAAGAGACCTCTTTTTAACACTTCAGCCTTCCACAGCATAACACAGCAACTCATTTAAGCTATTTCCTGGTAGTTTATTGCTTCAAGTACATCTTCCTTTGTCAACACAAATATGCATACACAATCCCAACCCAGCAGTCCAAATTCTAAGAGAATTAAAGGGAAAAAACCCAGATTTATTACAGTTTAGTATTTACCTCAAATTGTATTTTTTAACTTGCACCAGTTTACACCCCTTACTCTGATTTTTTACTGTTGCATGAGGTCACAGTCAGTCACAAAATCAGTTTCACTTGTTTGATTCAACCTCCATGCTCACTTCAGCACACAGCATACCATAACTGAAATATTTTGATGCAGAAACACCGCTTCATCTACTTTTTTTTTAAAAAAAAGCTCTTCCATAGAGATGGGAAAAACAGCTCTAGAGCATTCTTATTCCCATAAGAACCCTATTTAGAAGCCCATCTGTCCATGCCTGAACTTTTCTGTGCCTGTCTTCTTTCCCCCTGGCAATCTATGTACCATTACCTCTTATACTTCATAAATGATTTGTCTTTAAAATGGCCATCAGGTTTCTGGTTTGCTATTGTTGATGAAACATAAGATGGAACAAGCCACCTTAAGTTCCAGATGTATTATTGCATGCACTTTATGCCTTTTATGGGATTTTTATTTTAATTTTATAAAACTGAATTAAACATCTCTTCCTATAAGAAGCAAAATCTGTAGCCTTGTTGCTCAGGGATATTAAATAATAAGTTTCTTATATAAGAAAGAAAAAGATTCAAAACTTCTGTTCTGCTTGCAGACTTGTCCCCCACGTGGCCATTCTTTAATAAAAAATAATAAATTTTTTAGGCACTTCTTCCTCCAACA